TTTTTAAAATAGGTATCATCTGAAATAAAAAAAGAAACTTAGGCAAAATGTTCATTTTAATGGCCGCTATACGACCCAGCAAAGAAAGTCGTAGTTTTTTCCACATTATTAAATCCTTTTGTACCATTTTCCACAATCTTTCATAATTATTCTGGTACAATTTCGCATTGGAGGATGACAAAAAAATTCCCAGATATTTTACTTTATTAACCACTTCAAATCCTGAGATTTGCATAAGTTGATCTTATGGCACTATTCCAATTCTATTCTATTCCATTCCTATATTCTATTTTATTCTATTCTATGAATTGTGTTTTTGTTTTTGTTTTTTTTAATATTTGGAAAGTGTTTGTATGACAGTACGGCCTTCTCTTTTTTCCTCTTTCCCCTAGGACGCACTTTCCCGACACATCCCTACTTCTCAGCCCAGCTTGGAGCTGGACAGCTCTCTCTCTACAATATCTTGAAGGCGTATTCCCTCCTGGATCAGGAAGTAGGCTATTGTCAAGGCCTCAGTTTTGTGGCAGGGGTGTTGTTGCTGCACATGAGCGAAGAAGAAGCCTTCAAGATGCTGAAGTTCCTGATGTTTGATATGGGCCTTAGGAAGCAATATCGACCCGACATGACGATTCTACAGGTCAGAAGATTCATTAGGTTTATTTAGTTTTGTGTTAATAGGTGAACTCTGTATTCCATATCTACGGGAACATGAATAGAATAGAATAGAATAGAATAGAATAGAATAGAATAGAATAGAATAGAATAGAATAGAATAGAATAGAATAGATATTGGAATATAGAATGGAATAGAATAGAATAGAATAGAATAGAATAGAATAGAATAGAATAGAATAGAATAGATATTGGAATATAGAATAGAATAGAATAGAATAGAATAGAATAGAATAGAATAGAATAGAATAGAATAGAATAGAATAGAATAATAGAATAGAATAGATATTGGAATATAGAATGGAATAAGAATAGAATAGAATAGAATAGAATAGAATAGAATAGAATAGAATAGAATAGAATAGAATAGAATAGATATTGGAATATAGAATGGAATGGAATATGGAATATGGAATGGAATAAATAGAATAGGATAGGATAGGATAGGATAGGATAGGATAGGAATAGGATAAAATAGATATTGGAATATGGAATGGAAGAATAGAATAGAATAGAATAAATACAGCTGCTTTAAGAAGATAAAATTAATATAAGACCGGGTCTTATATTATATTAATTTTTGCTCCAAAAGACGCATTAGGGCTTATTTTCCAGTTAGGTCTTATATTTAGGGAAATACGGTACTAAATGTGTCTGTCTGGCTGACAATCTTAACCAGAGCTTATTTTTGGGGTGGGGGCTTATATTATGAACCTCCTGAAAAATCATGCTAGGGCTTATTTTCTGGTTGAGTCTTATTTTGGGGGAAATGCAGTTGTAGCAGTTGTCCCCATCTCTCTTCCAAAGCAACTTTTCAACTTTGGACCCAAATCGCTGCACATCCCGACTGCGCAAACACCGCCCTCAATCCACCACTGACAATTACAGTGTGAATTGTCCTAACTCTCTTTCTTCTGTATATTTTCTTCTCTTTTTAAAAAAAAAATTGCTTCACAGATCCAGATGTATCAGCTTTCTCGACTGCTTCATGATTACCACAAAGATCTCTACAACCACTTTGAAGCCAATGAGATCAGCCCCAGCCTCTACGCTGCCCCTTGGTTTCTGACCGTGTTCGCTTCCCAGTTCCCCCTGGGATTTGTCGCCCGGGTGTTTGGTAAGTCATACGAATGCCTAAGGATGTTTGAAGCTTGAATATTTTGGCCACCTAATGAGAAGAGGGGCGGCTTGTTGGGAACGTCCCTGATGTTGGAAAAAAAAATGAAGGCAAAAGGAGAAAGGGCTGAGAGAGAACAAGAAAATCCTGCTGGTGATGTTGGTTGTTGTTGTTAGTTGCGAAGTCGTGTCCGACCCATCGCGACCCCATGGACAACGTTCCTCCAGGCCTTCCTGTCCTCTACCATCCTCTGGAGTCCATTGAAACTCACGCCTCCTGCTTCAGTGACTCCATCCAGCTACCTCATTCTCTGTCGTCCCCTTCTTCTCTTGCCCTCCGTCTTTCCCAGCATTAGGCCCTTCTCCAGTGAGTCCTTCCTTCTCATTAGGTGGCCAAAGTACTTGAGTTTCAACTTCAGGATCTGGCCTTCTAAAGAGCAGTCAGGGTTGATCTCCTCTAGGACTGACCAATTGGATCGCCTTGCAGTCCAGGGGACTCGCAGGAGTCTTCTCCAGCACCAGGGTTCAAAGGCCGCCATTCTTTGGCGCTCAGCCTTTCTTATGGTCCAACTTTCACAGCCATACATTGCAACTGGGAAAACCATGGCCTTGACTATGCGTGCTTTTGTTGGCAGGGTGATGTCTCTGCTTTTTCGTATGCTGTCTAAATTTGCCATAGCTTTCCTCCCCAGGAGCAAGCATCTTCTAATTTCTTGGCTGCAGTCCCCATCTGCGGTGATGTTATACGGGCGTAAACTTATTGAGACCTGATATTCCACCAGTTAACAAACATAGTGATTTAGATCAGGGGTCCCCAACCCCCGGGCCGTAGACCGGTACCGGGTCGCGGCATACCAGCAACCGGTCCGCACAAACAAGCAAAGCCCCATTCGCGGGATGCAGGCAGCACACAAAACCACGCCCCCTCGGGTCCGCGGAAAAAACTCTCTCCACGGAACCGGTCCATGCTGCCCAAAAGCTTGGGGACCTCTGCCTTAGGCCAACAATTTTTGAATCACCAAACCTCAAAACGGGCTAACTTACAGAATGCATCCAAACTCTTGAGACCCACAACTCCTATGGGATTTAAATTTGGCAAAGCTGGGGCCACTTCAGCGCCGCTGCGTCGCAGTCACAGTGTGCCACCACACGACGCTCCCGCGATTGTTAAATTTCCAACGCTACCTAGCAGCTTCCTACAAGGGAAGTCATTGGAGAAGCCTGTTGGAAATGGAAAGTTTTTCCTGCTCCCCTGCTTTGGGGCTTACCTGTGGTCGTTCTGTTGTCTCTGTTTTGGTAAAGAAATATCTCTGGAACCAGGACCCGACAGGTTCCCAGTTGTCCACAACAGCGAACGTGATTTCTTATTTACTCGTCTTTGCAGTCCATTTGCTTGTCTTGGCAGTGGAAGCTTGAAAGAAGGATTGCAAAGAGGAGAGGAAGAGGTCTGTACTACAAAGAGGTTCCTAGTCTTCAATATAAATTTCACCGAGACTCGGAGAACCCTTCGGTATTCGAAAACTAAGACGTCGTACTTTTGGACCAAACGATCGTTGACTTCATTAAAAGTATCCTCCCCAATCTAGGCTTGGTACAGATGGAAAAAACCATTAACCAGGTAAGACGTGGAGCATCGCCAGGGAAAGTAGAAGCTGCAACATTGAGAACAACTTCCCGGTGTAATTGATACCAGCCGAACTGCAGCTTATTTGGGCCGTTCAGATGTTGGAATTTCCTTATGCAGAATTAACGCATTTCCAAACAATAGCCAGATCTGTTTTGAGATGTCTTATGTAATGGGGGAGGCTATATCCCCGACGGCTTCTTCCTGTTTTACTTGGCACGGAGTTAAGCTTTGGATGCTTGGGCAAGATTCCCTCCCTTCTTCAGAAATTAGTCTGAATACCCTAAAAAAACCACAACGCAGTATTTTGTGCGCGTTAAAAAAAAAAGAAGAAGCAAATTTAACACAGAACGGCCTAGTCTTCTTTAATGCAAGATCGTTGCGGAAGAGTAAAAACTACAAGGTGTATCGCAGGATATACAGTAGTGGCCAAAATTGTGGAAAGCTTTTGGGAAAAGTGTACATTTGAGGTTTGATGGCTAATAACACCACTTTTTTGGGGGGGGAGTAGTACCATAAAATTATATATCAATGGAAGGATCATTTAATCAAGAATGTCATGCAACAAAGTTTGTTCAATGATCTGTACTGTATTCCATGAAAAGTTATAGCCAAATAACCAGAAAAAGGAAGCCCAACTTGCTTAGGTGGATCTCAGGTAGCTTTCCTGCATCTGATTGTAGCCAATGAGCAGGAGTGTTTAGAGAGCCAATCGGGTGTCATCTTGTTTTGGCCATGAGCCAACCAGATCACAGTAGGATTCGGTTCTTGATGCCATGTATTGAAGCTGAGAGGAGGACATTTGTCAGTGTGTTATGTGATGGCTGTCAAGTTGGTTGGGGTTTTTTTTGTGTTCTTTCATTGAGTGAGCTTGTAAAACGTCATAAAATTAAAGTCATGGTGCAAAGAGTTGACCGGTTGCCTAGAAAGCGATATAAAATAGTATTATTAAGTGAACAAGGCTACAGTTATAAAGAAATCGGAAGAAAACTTGGTGGAAACTTAACCAAAGGTGTCATTTCTACTGTACACTTTTCCCAAAAGGTTTCCACAGTTTTGGTCACTACTGTATCAAAGAGTAAAAGTCAATCCTCTTAACTTTTTCTTGTTGTTTTTTTTTAAAAAAATGAATTTAAATCAGTGTGTCAGCAGTGCAGCTACAGGATAAATCTTCTTTCCGATTTGCAGTGCTTTGGATTTGAAGGCACGCTGCTGCTTTAGAACAGTTGGGCACAAAGAGTCTTCAACTCTTTAAAGCAGTCACATCTTTTCCTATTCTCCCTTAGGACCTTATCTCATTTTCTGTCCATTATCTTCCATTCAATAACAGCCCTAATTAAAACGAACCTGGTGAGTTAGATCAGTGGTTCTTAACCTTTTTAAACAAATCGCCCCCTTGAGCCAATGAGGAAGTTGTCATCGCCCCCCTCCCCCAACATAACCTCTCAATCACAACATAGGAAATAATTCTTCAATTTATGCAAACACTTGTTTTGTTTTCTTTAAAATTGTCATCAGAACATATTGAGGCAAATAATTTATTTCCAGTCTTTTTCCCATATCTCAGCTGTGTGAAAAATGTTGGTGCCACCCGTCGCTTTATTCCCAAACTTCGTGATACGCGTATTTCATTATTATCTTATTTATTCAAGACACTTAAATGTAACGACCACTGAAAACAAAATTCAATTGCAAGCAAGTCAAATGCCCGAAAAGAAAAACAGTAACATTTAATGATTGAATTACAAGTGAAATTTAAGACGCAAAAAGAAATATAAAAAGGGTAGAGGCTGCTGCGCAACGCGCATGAAGATAAGCGATGCGTATTCGCATATGTACGGCGTTCTGTATTGAAGCTAGCTGGAGGAACATTTGAAAACACAATTCAATCCACTAATAGCGAGCGATCTGATGTTTTTGTACAACAGATATGCAGCGATTCACTGTATGAAAAAGTCTCAAAAGTGTCCCCAAAACTTCTCGCTCCATCGCCCCCATATCGCCCGCTTTTTGTTCCTTCGCCCCCACGTCGCCCCTTTTTGTTCCATCGCCCCCCTGAAAAACAAAATATCGCCCAGGTTAAGAGCCACTGAGTTAGCTAACACGAATAATGGAAGTTCAGCTCTGCAGTTCACTAAGTCATCGCTCCGCGAGATGGATTATTGGAAATAAATGGGTCTTTTTTCAGGATTAGAATTAACATCGCTTGCTAGGAGCTAAGAGCTCTTTATCATGCAGACCGAACGCTTATTTCTTTTTTTTTCTTTGATACTTTAAAAATCTAAATGTTGGCTTGCTTTTTTATGAGACACATCCATGTGGTTTTTCTGTTTATATTTTTCCCTTCCCGTGGCAGGTATTTGAGATGGATATCTCCAAACAGCTGCAAGCTTATGAAGTGGAATACCATGTGCTTCAGGACGAATTAACAGATTCTTCTCTCAATGACAACCAAAGGATGGATAAACTGGAGAAAGCCAACAGTGGTTTACGGAAGCAAAACTTTGATCTTCTTGAGGAGCTGCAGGTATGGACTGCACTTTATGCATGACGTGTTAAACGAGACATTGAGCGAGTAAAGAGATACTCGTGTTTATTTCTGCCGGATGCAATCAACAATGAATACCTTTCCCTTGGTCAAAAATTAATTTGAACAAATCTTATGGGGTAGCCATAAGATTTCACACAGAAAAAATTCAAAATGACATCCCTGATTTAAGATCTAAAGGGTTTTACACACCTGGAGCCACCAGTGTATAAACAGGGGAAAAAAAAACACTCCCTTCTAACACTGATGATGTCACTTAGTTGGGTAATGAGATGTCTGCAAGAAAACAAGCAAGCTGAGAGAGCACCAAGAATACTATTAAGATCCCGTTGTCCATTAGTCTTGTTTTTATGATTATTGTCAAATTTATTGCCACCCATCTCGCAGTTCAAGACGATCATTTTAGATTTTTTTTTGCAGTTTTTAATATTTGTTGATGATAACAATTGTACAGTCTCATGTTTATGAGATGGCCAGCTGTTATAAATTACATTGATAAATAAATCATCTTAATGATTTGAAATCCCCAAATTTCAACCCAATTACTTATATCCTGTAGACCAGCGGTTCCCGACCTTTTCTATACCCTGCACCCTCAAAATGCTTCTGATATATTCTCGCACCCCTTACAAAAGTTCAAAATAATGGCAATGAATTATGCATTTGTTGTTAGTTGCAAAGTTGTATCCGACCCATCGCGACCCCATGGACAACGTTCCTCCAGGTCTTCCTGTCCTCTACCATCTTCTGGAGTCCATTTAAGCTCACGCCTCCTGCTTCAGTGACTCCATCCAGCCACCTCATTCTCTGTCGTCCCCTTCTTCTCTTGCTCTCCATTTTTCCCAGCATCAGGCTCTTCTCCAGTGAGTCCTTCCTTCTCATTAGGTGGCCAAAGTACTTGAGTTTCAACTTCAGGATCTGGCCTTCTAAAGAGCAGTCGGGGTTGACCTCCTCTAGGACTGACCGGTTGGATGACCTTGCAGTCCAGGGGACTCACAGGAGTCTTCTCCAGCACCATAGTTCAAAGGCCTCCATTCTTTGGCGCTCAGCCTTTCTTATGGTCCAACTTTCACAGCCATACATTGCAACTGGGAGAACCATGGCCTCGACTATATGTACTTTTGTTGGCAGGGTGATATCTCTGCTTTTTAGTATGCTGTCTAGATTGGCCATAGCTTTCCTCCCCAGGAGCAAGCGTCTTTTAATTTCTTGGCTGCAATTCCCATCTGCGGTGATCTTGGAGCCCAGGAAGATAAAATCTGTCACTACCTCCATTTCTTCCCCATCTATTTGCCAGGAATTGAGAGGGCCGGATGCCACGATCTTGGTTTTCTTAATGTTGAGTTTCTAATTTTGAAAACCCAAGTTTTCGCACCCCTTGGAATATTGTCTCATACCCCCACGGGGTGCGAGCACCCCTGGCTGGGAACCCCTGCTGTAGACTTTATAACAATGTACCGCAACAGGAACCCATTCACTTGTTCTGGAACAAGGTAGAAATCCCAAATCCAAATGGAATTTAGGTACGCCCATTAGAAAGGCCCTCTAAAATTGTATTTTTAATAACTCTGCATGTAAGTGCCAGCCCTGAATCAGGTGTGGTTTCATGTGATGTGGGTGGAAATCTGTTTAGCCGTCAACCCCAACATCTGTGGTCCTTGTGGTGCAGGTAGTCCCGACTGTCGATTTTTGAACTGCTCCCCTGGGGCACCCAATGACGACACCTATAAAAGAAGGCAATAGGAGTTATAGGAACAAAGGACGAATAAGAAAGTTCCACCGATTGCCCTTCTAGGTTTTGGATCTTCACTACCACCTCCGAGACGAAGTGTTGCTTCCGTTTAACTTCCTCTGGCAGGACCATCTGGAACGGGAGAAGAAAGCATTGTTAGAAACTCTACAGGAATTCCACACCCAGCCAGCAAACCCCAGTGGAAAAACTCTTCCCTCCGAGCAAGAACGTAGAGACGCTGTTAACTGAGCATTTTAAGGCTCCACATAGGCGGAGAAAAAAAGGGAGAGCTATTTTCCTAAGCAACTCTTAGAACTTTTCATAGTGTCCTTTTCCTTCGTCTTCCTTTTCAAATCACGTCGCACAAAGGAGAAATGTGTTACAGTGCTTGGGTGGAAGAATCTTGCCTGTCTACGTCCCACATTTGTTCCAATAGTACACAAGCAGAACGGCCTTTAAGCTTTACTATAATATGACACATTTCCACCTGGTTGTAAACGTCTGGGCTCGTTTACCCTACACAGTACTGCTTTTCGTTCTACGAGTTTCCATCAAATTTACGCCGGAAGCATTTGGGGAAATTTCCAGGCTAAACCTTACAGTCTGCACACTTCTCAAGGAATTTCAATTTTAGGAGCATGCTGGAGTGATTTCTTTCCCATTTAAGGGGTTAATGTGTGTTCATTTATGGTGCAATTATTTCCTCCAAAGCAGACAATGTGTTCTACTTACTCGCCTTGTGTTTTTAAAACACAGTGCCCGCGGGGACACTGACATCATGAATTGCAAGAAGCCAAAATGTCATCCCATAATTTTGGGGAACTATTCTTTCTGGTTGCCAATGGGATAAATATGGATTTTGGTTCCTTTTAATCTACAGTTGTAGCATAGCTGAATGCTTTAATATCTTTCCCTTCTGTCTTTATCGGTAGAATCTGAAGCTGTCATATCGTTATCGTTGATTATGCCTTGAAATGTTACTTTATTTATTTTTCAACCATTGTGCTATAAGCCTTTGTTTTCTGAACGCAAAGCTAGTCTTTCCCCATTTTAATTCCAGGAGCTCAGTCAGATATCAAGCAGCTTCAAACATCACCTTTAAAAATTCCGTAGCCACTTATTTAAATGAAAGAACTAAGATACCCTTTATACACGTTGCACTTAGGAGCAATTTACGGTCTTAAAACGGTTTTATTTAAAAAAAAATAGTTGTATTACTTTTCATTAGGCGTGCAGGCATTGTGGTGCATTGAAAATATATATATGTATTTTCTGTCTGTTGAATATTGGGATAGTTAAAAGACTTCAGGTATTCTGCAAATAGTCCAGGATTCATCACTGCGCAGTCAAAATTTTAATCAGAAAGATTGGCTAAGATCACCTTTGTCTGTTTTCAAACTGGTTTGCGGGTTGGTGATTTTAAAAGTTTTAAATTAGTCACGGACGGATGACGAGACTCATTGAGTGGGTTTTCCACTGATGGAAATAGATCTGTAGGTGTATCTGCACTACAAATGTAACTTGATTTAATCACTATTTCATCCTGGGGGGGGGGAGAAAGAGTTCCATTTTTAGGAGAGCATGATGGTCTCTGAAAGATAATTTTAAATATCCTTGTCAAATTAAATTCATTTGACCCTCGAAAGAAAAGCAGAACAAAGTAGCAGCCCCCCCCCTACCTGGTGTAGTGTGGTTATTTCTTCAATGAGAGTTGACTGCATTAAATAACCAATGTTCTTTGTTTCTAAAAGTTAACACTGGCTCCTTGGAAAATAACGGTTGCCAAGTCCCCACAGGGTTTTGCATTGATAAATATTTGGTCATGACAATCTACTGACTTTGCTGCTGTTTGGTTTGGTGTTAAGCATCATCTCCCCCATGTTTGTATGTCTGTTTTTCCATAATTATTTCATACTGTCAACATCAGACATTTACTACCATATCTATATACTGTTTGTGTGCCCAACTACATTGGATTTGGACTGACATTTGCCCATCTATAAGTTTTTTTAAAACACTTTAAAAAAAGCAATAAACGCCAAATTCATGTGAGATGCTCCAAAAATCCAGAAAAATCACTTCTCTTCTCTTCCTCTTCCTCTTTTCTCTTCTGGGCTTCTTAAACATAAATTTAGCACTCTACAGGTTTCTGGACTATGGGTTGGTATACACACACACACACACACACACATACAGACACATATATAGATATATACATATAATATACATTTTTACATATATATATATATATATATATATGTGTGTGTGTGTGTGTGTGTGTATGTATATATGTATATATTTATATATGTACACACACACACACACACACACACACACACGGCCAAGAGGTTAATACAGCTGCCTAACGTGCAAACGCCGGGGTTTGAATCTCAGAAGGGCATGGCTAGCTGATGAGAGCTAAATAGCTCAAAATAGCTATACTAGTCTCCCTTTAATTCTTTGTCAGCAAAATCTAAATATACACACATATATATTCCCCAAAAAATGTTTGTGGCTTACAAACAATTTTTGTGGCTGACAATTTTTTTGTGGCTGACACACACATATATATATACACACACATATATAATATACATATATATATATATATATATATACACACATACATATATATATATATACACACACATATACACACACACTTATACACACACACACACATATACATATAATATACATTTTACACACATATATATACATACATACACATACACACATGGCCAAGAGGTTAATACAACTGCCTAGCATACAAGCGCCCGGGTTCGAATCTCAGAAGGGCATGGCTAGCTGATGAGAGCTAAATAGCTCAAAATACCTATACTAGTCTCCCTTTAATTCTTTGCCAGCAAAATCTAAATATACACACATATATATTCAAAAAAAACATTTTTGTGGCTGACAAAGAGTTACACACATATATATACACACACACATATTATATATATATATATACTAGCTGTACCCAGCCACGCGTTGCTGTGGCTCAGTCTGGTTAAATGGAAAAGAAAGAAAAGAGAAAGCACACGTTTATGTCACAGGTGTGACGTCTATATAATAGTAGGTATATAAAAAACACGCGCGTTTTCGAATGCAACGTTGTGTCAAAATTTCAAAGCAATCGGTGAAGAACTTTCGGAGATTTAAGATTTTGAACAAACGAACATTTACATTTTTATTTATATATATACACACACACATACATATGCATATATACATACACACACACACACATATGCAATGCTTTCTTCTGCCCACTCCCAAAATTAAGTGTTTTTGGGTTTAATCCTCTCCAAGAAACTGAACAGCTAGAAAATATTCTCCAGCTTGCAGACACAGCCTACCTGGCTTGTGCCAGTTCCCCAGATTTATTCAC